ATGACCACCCATCGTTGGTGACCGACGCCCGCGCTCATTGATGAACTTTAGACTTCCCTAATGCTTTCGTTTCCCCGGGTGTATATAGCCGGGGGGAATTAGTACCCTCGCACGGCGCTTCGCGCCGCCGGCTCGGGGATTAACTTTTTAGGAATTTTTTCCTGGGGGGAATGGCAAAGGCAAAACATTTTATTTCAAATGAGAAAAATGTCGTTAATGGAGGTTTGCCCAAAGGGGACGAGATGGAAGGGAGACTGTCTTTATAACTTTAATTAGTTTACGGGTTGATTAACCACATGTGATTTTATATTTTTAGTCCGAGAGTATAGCCTATATACAGTATGTACAGTATGCATGGTAGCCGGATTTTGTTTTAGTTGAAGGGTCTTGTAGATAGAAATTATCAGGAACAACTGCGAAAAATGCAACTATACGGATCCCTGGCAGGAATCGAACCTGTGGCCCTGCGATGATTGACAACTGGCCTCTGTAGCTCAATTGGTTAGAGCGCTGCATCGGAATCGCAGGGCCACTCGATAATTTCCATATACATGCAAGACCCTTTAACTATTATTGAATCGAGTGAGATGCCAACAAAATCTAGGATTTTGTTTTAACCTATATACTTTTAATTATTGTTGGCTCAAAAGAGATTATGTTGAAATAATGATTGGGAACTATAGTTGTTCGGTTTGCGAGGGGTTCCTGCATGCATCTGTGGCCATTTAATGCATTCAGTTGCTTCGAGTTTGATCTTGACTAATGTCTTCCTTAAATTACATTTATAGGAAACAAGTCGGCACTGCATTTTTCTGGTGACAGAATCGATGACCGGGGGAATCCAATTCCTAGAAGGGGGGAGGGGCAATCCCCCAATTTAATGGTGATCGAAAAAGTCCTTTTGAGCAATAGATAATGAGACTTGAGGCGGCTATATCAGTTTGATTATACGATTTAAGAAGGATAAGTTGTCATTGATGACAACATGATTCCTTCCTAATCAGTAAGTAAACTAGAAACATCGAGAATCTTTCCGAATATGCAGGCAACACGACAATAGATAAACAATATGCCGTTTAATTTGTGGTGGTCACACGGAAATATGCATGGCCATTAGATTAGTGAGCGGAGCAATAATATGACGCTGCAGTGCACAACGATCTAGCACGCATATTTCAAGTATGACTGCAGGCGAATTAACAGACCTTATCATGAAAAATTCACAATCGGGGCCCTGTGTCCTAAGAAACGGGAATACACGCGGGGGAAATGACAAAAAGTTTTTGTTACTGGCTATAAACGGCGTTTTCCAAATAAAAATTAACGGCGTTGTCGTTAAACTACCTATAAAACTAAGAACGAAAGTTGAAGTAATGCTTTTTGGCGGAATATGTATATGGTAATTTTTCTGAAATACCGTACGAAAATGCTGGGTTCAATCGGAAAAGGAAACTTTTGTTTTGTTGCAGGTTGCCTAGCAAAAAAAAGGCGCCGACGTGTACAACTCTAAAAGTGTATGAAATATAAAAGTATAGTTAAAGAAATAAGATTACAACTCGCTCAGTTAATGCAGCTTTCATTCATTAAAGTAAAGTTAGTCAGGGGGTATCCTATTTCTCTGAAGCTGTAGCCTGCACTCAGGGGGTGCTGGCCAAACTTGGAAATGTGTTGATTGATTGATCTCACCGAACCAAACAGATGTCTAGGGTCAGATTTTGACCCTAGACATCGGATTGGTTTATCGGCAAACATGTTTTTAACATTAAAAATGTTCACTTAACACTAAAACTGATCCTTTAAATTCTAACATTAGTTTTTCAATTAAAAGGGTTGTAATGCGTCTTAAACCCATCATTGGAATGGCTGAACCGTGCCTTTTAGCAAGCGACGTTTTCATGGCGACGCCATTTAATCGTGTAAGACTGGACCGAGAACGGCGTTTTGGCGCGAAAAACAAATCGTTAAGCAAAAGTAGGGAGTTTGGACAACGGCTATCAATAGTGTACAATGTCAATCCTATAGCAGAAAAGAAATACTGCAGTATTTATGTAAATTAACAACACTTGATGGGCCGCCTATCAGCTCGAACAATGACTCTTTCATTTACAATCGTTTGGGCAACAATAAAATCTTGGACCTGGGGTTATTTACTTGATCTTAAACAATTGCAATGCGAATACTTACAAACGTAATAATGATATAATCTGAACAACCACTAACCTTTCAAATGGCTTTCGATGTCCTGTTAAAATACTGGTTTCACTCACATTTTTAACTTTTCACTACCTCAGTGTAATCAGTAATCCACGATCCAGAGAAGAGAGTAAAGAGGCCGAACTTGGAGATAGATCATTTAAAATGCTGCTCTTTCAATTTGGAACTCACTCCCACTTTACATTAGGCGGTGTGAAACTGTTAACTGTTTTAAAACTCATTTAAAGACATTTCTATTTAGGAAGGCATATAAATAGTCTAATTTTTAAGAATTATTAGTGTATGTATACTGAATGTTTTAAATTTATTTGGTATTTTTTTCATTTTATGTATCAGCCTTGTGTTTGGTGGCAAATACGTGAAATTTCGTATCATTTTCTCACTCCAGTACAGTATAAGCATCAATACATTTGAGGATGATCCCCCGTCAGATTCACTTCATAACTGATTCCATAGTGAAACCCAAGAACCCAAAAACTTCTGCACCTTTTGGGAAATGTTTTAGAAAAATGTAGGAATTTGCACGGATATACAACAAGCTTCGCTTTCATATTTTGACAGTTTGACGTCTTGTACTTTTATCTTATGGTTCATCCTATTAGGAGTGGACCTCCTCCTCCCTGATCTCATATGAGATCGGTGGTTGTTCGCCAGGAGTGGGATAAGCAAGATTTCAATTTTCAAAAACATATTTGGAAAATCGTTTCATACAATGAGCTTTCAAGCAATTTTGCTTTCAAGAAATAAGAAGAATTGATATACGTACTATTGGAAATCGTGAAAAATAGGGTAAGTTTGCTTTGAATGTTTAATGTTTATGAATTGTTTTGTTGCTTTAATTTTTTGCGTAAAACAATGCACTGCTTCCTTTTCAACTATGTAGCAAACGCTAAAAAAACCTTAAAATTTATGGAAGAGCAAATTAATTTTAACACTGAACTGAAATCAGCAAAAGCAGTTTAGTTGAATGAACATTTCAAAAAATTTAACGAAGCGTTTCAGAATAATTTTACATTAAATCAAAGCTCAAAAAAATGCAAAATAACATACTTACACTACAGTATATATTTCGGAAATTCATCGTTGTATAGTGTATTTATACAAGAAAATATTGTCTATAAAAATTTTATAATAATCGCTATGGCACAGAGGAAGTACATACAGAGGTCTCACCTCAGGTAGCGTAGGGGATTTTTTCAGTCCGCCTTATTCTTAGCCAGTCCCGTAAAGGGGCCTCCCTTTATGTTTTCCGGCCATCACGCCCTGAAAACATATTGAAATTTAATGTTCCGAGGGATGAATGCCTCTCTCTTTACTGGACTGGCTAATAACATGGCTGCCAGCTAATTTTTAGCCTGCGTAGCAGGCGTTTAGTGCGGGCGGGAGAAGAGAGGGCGTCGTTTGAGGAAACGCCTGCCAAATGGCTATGACAAATTTATTTTCCCATTAAGGATGATTGACGTTTTGTAATTAGCATCTTCACCCATTATCCAATCATAGTCGAGATTTATATTTAGCATCATGCATGCTTTTTGCTCGGCAACTAGGGAGATTTGCAGAGATTTTATGTACTGTTTATAAACTCGCAGGTCGTGTTTTATTAGGTCTAAAGCCACTCGCGCCCTTATTAGTATTCTTTATATAAAGAATACTAATGAGGACACGACTACAATAGATACTGCCTAATTAGTATTCTTTATATAAAAAATGCTAATTAGGAGTGTTTTATCAGGTTTAAAGCCACTACACGTGACATATTATGGTTGACATGATTTTCCAATAAGCTTATGAATTATTAATGAGTGTTTGAAGTATTGTGGTTTAAAGCCACGAGCGCGCAGCGCGAGTGGCTTAGACCTAATAAAACACGACCTGCGAGTTTATTAAACGGCTTCAAACACGACTATACAAATTCAATAGATATACCGCCTTATTAGTTTAAAGCAACTGCAGGTTTAAACTGCAGGTTTAAAGCAACTGCACGTGACATATTATGGTTGACATGATTTGCCAATAAGCTTATGAATTATTAATGAGTGTTTGAAGTACTGTTTAAAACATGAGCAGCAGTGTTTTATCAGATATAAAGATGGTCTGATAAAACACGCACTGCGAATGTTTTAATTTTAAATTGCTTCAAAAACGATCGATCTAATAAGTTCATTGGCGAAGTAGCTTTCAAAAAATTCGTTGTGTATGTCGAGAATTAAAATCAAAGTTAAAGTTTATGTAAATCAAGGTAAATCTCTATCACATATGAAGATACGACACGTTTATGATTTTTCTTCGTGTTTTCCGCATGAATTATTACGATAATGAGTTTTTGAAGCTATTTTAAACAACAGTCACAACACAGAGCCGTTATCTTTTAAAAGGCTCCTGAACCACGTACAGTTGTTTAACGTATTCTACCGTGTAACAAATAACAGTTCAGCAATGAGCATGTTCTGAAATGTTTATATTCAGTTACTGTAAAATCATCATCCAACTTCATAGTTGCAATGCCAAGTGATGCAGCCTCAACAATCTGGTCTTGAAAAACGTTTTTAGAAAATTTAAAAAAGAAAAATAGTTTAAAAAGTTACATTTTCAAAAAAGTTAAAAAAGTTAGATTAGGGTTATGGTTAGGGTTGGGGTTAGTGTTAGGGGTTCGATGCCGCGAATTTATTATCATTATGATAAATTCAAAGTGTGCCGCGAATTTATCATACCAGTGCCGCGAATTTCCAGACATTCAAAAAAGGGGCG